GAGTTTGGTGAAGAAAAAGTTACTGATATGAAGTTGATCTTGAACTATTCAAAGTGGAAAGAAAATACATAAGTTCCTTCCAGCTCTTACAGTCGATATACTGTACATACAGTTTTCTCAAATTCTTTTTCTTTTGCTCTTTTACTTTTGTTTATGAAAACAAAAGACACCACATTTTATATACAGTACATGTTGCTTCATGCAGGCTGCTTCAAATACGTGGAGCTGGACAGTCCTGCTGTGCCTAGTAATGACTGGTGATACAATATTGGACAATCGCTCCTGGTGGGAGGGATTTTGTGAAAGGTCAATTAGTGATTCATGGCCTTTTTATATTGTAAATACTTTATTTATAATAAAAATAGGTATTTCATTTGGACTCCTCCAGGAAGGTTAGGGGTCTGAGTCAACTACAGAGCTGTGACTCTGAAGCAGGCCGAGATTCACTGGTTTGCTTAAGGACCCATCAGAAAAGTGAATATAGCCTGAGTGCCAACACAAAAGTCAGAATCCTCAGCTAACTAGTTGAAAGAAAGTTGTTTTTTTTTTGTTTTTTTTTACAAAATTAAAAAAAAACCCTGTTATTGTGTTTCTCATTAAAGACTCCTGCCTCTGGCTTAAACATTTATGAGATGAGGACATATGATTGATGATGATTTGAAAGAGCTGCTAACACCTCCAGATTTTTAATTTGATTTTGTTTTATAAAAGCTTTTATTTATCATCCATAGTCTGTATTTAACTGCTTGATTACTCATCAAATCAAATCTGGTTTAAGCCTGTCACGTCTGATTTGACATAAATAAGCTAATACTGTTGTTGATGACATAAATGGGAAGGTAGTGATCAGTGGGGAACTGAAGAGCAGCAGTAACGGAACAATGCGATATAAAAACAACATAGACCAAACACACAATACCACCACCAACACTACATTAAAAAAAAAACCTTGGATAAGAACAGAAGGCACAAGCTGTCTAGGTTGATCACAGATTACTCATTATCCCGTGAGCACTATTCATGTCTGAGTCTTGAGTTACAAAGTGCACAATGCAGCTCCATGCCAGAGGAGAGCAGAGGGCCTTGGATCATGTTCACCTTGGTTCTTCACTGGCACAGACCAAGGAGACCACAGATTTAACCACACATGAGGTAATTCTCCCCCTTTGTTGTTCTCTCTCCCTCTCTAAGCAACTCCCTGAATGACAGATGTGACCTTCAACTACGCAACAGCTCAAATCACAGTTCTGCTGGTTTTGTCTTCTACTTCTAAACCAACAGGCACATTAGACTGAAAGTACCAGCATTTTTGCTTCTTCCTCCTTTATGAATGCACATGAAAGAAACAAGTAGGCTTTCTTCCTGAGCAAGTTGTGAATGAATGAGTTTTTAGAAACAGAGGATGGACAGAGGCTGAGGCAGATGTACCCCCCCCCCCCCCAGCGCTCTATAGATCATACAGCAAGATCACATAGTGCTCTCAGGGAAATCTGGTTTCAATACACTGCTTCCTGTGCAGGCAGGAAATAGCCGTCATTTTTGCAGGCAATTAACAAAGAATCATTGACCTTGCAGTGGCTTTCTTGAAATCAGGAGCCTAGCCTCCAACACTCCTATTTCAGTTAGATTCTATAAGGGCAATTTGGGAAGGAGAGGCACCAAGGGACTGTGAAAGGACACAAAGTTACAGTAAGATCGGTGTGGGGAGGATATCTGCACAGGCATGAAAGAGGGATTATTTGCATGGCACACAACCAGCAGGCAGCTTAGCAGACAAGTAAAGATACATAACACTGTTACAAAGTGTTGAGCAAGCTGATGGAGCGGGTTGAAGCCAGAGCTATTTAATACCCAGCTGCAACACGTTTTCCTCTGTCCTGGCCTTGGGTGATGTTTCTCTTTGTTTTACAGAGGCTGCAGCTCGGTTACAGCTGCAGGAGCACAACACTCATTAATCTTTGCTGCTCCTGAAATATCCTTCAGTATCATGTTGAGCTTGTATTTTTCGCCATAACATGGCAAACAGTGTCTGCACTTTCTATGATCTGAGGTGAGCTCAGGCCTACTTACAGAACCCCTTTCAACTACTTAATGTATTGTAGTACTAACAACAAAGTGCACTGAAAAATAAAAATTCAAATTCATTTACATAATCTCTTTTAAATAAACATTAATTTCTTCTCCATTATGGCCCCTTAGGGGAAAGCAAAACAAGCTAAAAACACTCAGAGTGGAGTCCAAAGTGGCGCACAAACACCTGGGCCTGGTAACAACAAGATTTTCACAGATATGTAATGTTCGTTCATACTTTTTAAAAGTACTTCTAGCCCCATTTCATTTCTATGAGCTTGTAACACTTTCTCCTCCTTTAATGGCCTGCGCCTTGGTCCCCCGGCTGAAAAACATAAACACAGGGAAGGCTAAAGATTTGCAGTGTTGAGCAGACAAGGACAACCTTTCATTTGTTTACATATTTCTGTCTCTATACAGAGGGCAGCAGCAACAGGGGAAGCCAGGGCCGCTTCCTATTTTGGGAAACAGCTGCTTTAATGCAACAACTTCTGTAAAAGTTGTTATGATGAGAGAAGGAGCAGTCATTTCTTTTAGCTATAACACACCCCTTTAAAAAACGCTTCAACTACAACAGTCATCTCAATAACACATATTTTTTCTCCTTTAAATTTGGCACAGTCCAGGTTACATTCTGTGATTGCCAAACATCTGGCAATGCTCTGGTGTGGTACACACGTCTCTGGATGGACACATTGTGGGCCACTAGTGTGGCCAATGAGATGTGAGTGTCGTTACTTGATATTAATGAACTGAGCCTGATCTCAAGAAGGGAGAGATCTAAGTCATTGCATAAGTAAGCTGAGCTCTTGATACTGCATGTCTGATCAGTGTTATTTAACAGCTGCACGCCTGCAGTTGCTTCAAATGCCGCCCAAGAAAACCTCAAATCTTAGAGTGATTATGGAGATAAAATTGGATTAATGGCCTTGTTGTTTTTGTTTTCGTTTTCATTGCTGTGGGCTGATTTCTGTTATTTTAAGGAACTTATATTCACCTTATTTACACATTTCAGTTACAGTACATGTCACATGTATCAGGGATTCGGTTTCTTTACAGACTTACTACATTATGTTATCTCATTCTTTTGGTGTGATAATGCCTGGAGCACATGTCAAACACAAGGGATCTCTGGAGCAAAAAACAAGATTAAAATATCAATAAGAACCTGGATATCTGGCCCTTGACTAGAACATGACTGCTGACAGCTACAGAAGGAAGCGCAACTGAAACAGGATTTCTGAGGCCTAAGCATTTATGGATTGGGCGCTAATTTGTTTGGAATCAGTTATATGTTTGAATTCAAAATATCCACTGTGTCAAAAAACATACATTTGTGTGACCATATAAACTGCAAGAACTGCAAGTCTTAACATTCGTGTGTTTCAAAATCCATCCAGTTATCTATGTAGATCATAGAAAAACTGGAATGTGTCACTCACCGAGCTGAACTGTATTTCTAGAAAGCATCATAGACAAATTTAAACTAATCTTACTAAAGAGCAAAATATTTTTTTTTGCACACATTAGAGTACCTCCCATGCAGATGGCTGAATGTTTGCCAGCCAAGAACCGTTCTCTTCCTCTCCATACCTGCACGTGTGTTACTCATTTACTACTGCCTTCCAGTATTCAGCTCTGTAAGATTTGGCCTTAACCCTCAAAATGCTAGTCCAGAGTCTCAGCTGAGCCTTTTGCCTTTTGGTGGTGTCCTGTCACTGTTGTGGCTCCTCTGCTAAATACAGTAAAGCTTAAAAGCTGATTCTGCTATAAGCCTCAGAAAAAAAATGCCTGGGTCTGAAAAATCTAACATCTACTCATCCCTCCAACTAAACAATTCAACAGTCCAATATAACCCCTGTGGCTGTGATGATGTCAGGCACTCATTCACCAAGTGTGTCCAGTGTTCCATGCTGCTCAGGCAGTGTTGTGTTTAAACCAACACATTTCAGAAGACAGAAAAGAACTATGCAAGCATGTGCTAACACTGACCAAGTTTTACAGACAACTGTCTCACTACACTGGGGTCTCTGTGTATGAGAAAGAGGGCATGTCTGGAACTTCAGAGCTGCCCAGAAAGTCCCAGCTGCCTCTATCATCACAGCAGCCTTTTATGCAGCTGCAGCATTTTTTGCCTGTAACCAAAGCTGAAACCAGACCTACACTGTCTCAGAGCCCCCTGTCACTGAACCCTCACGTCCCGCGGGACAGAGTTACCCCACTCGCTGACCCCCAGTGACCCCTGTCTGTCAGAGGTTCAGTGCCCTGAGTGAGAAAGCTGGAGACAGCAGTCGCAATATCTGATTCAGTTCAGATGTGAGATATCGATGGACAAGCCATTGAGCCTATAAGATGGCAGCAAAATTAACTGACTGGATATGCTCTCAGAATTAGATCTAATGTGTGACCCCAGAAGTTACTTGGCTTTCTGATCTGGCTAGTTGCAATTTCCTGTTTGGGCTTTAAAGCTATACAGCATAAAAAACCTAATATGACCTCACAAACCTGGTATAACCTCACATGATTCTGTGAATTTTATCCTAAAAGGACTCCACATTAAGAGAATAAGCCCCTGTCTTATAGTTGCCTTGAATTCACTTGATTTGTGCAAACCCAGAAGCAGACATGGGTCTGTTTGTGCCTTATCTGCACTGAGGATTATATTGAGTTAGTGAAAGATTTCACATATATGCAAGGGATTGATAGGCTGAAGTGGACTCTTACCCTGAGAGCACTCATTCATGACTTAATGCTCTCCAGGCAGAGAGAAAGGACATAAAGCTATAAAGAAGCAAACACATTTATCCCTGAAGTAGAAAGGCTCAAATTATAAATGATATACAGTAAGGCTATATAAGGTGTCGTCCACCAGTCCTGTAGGTGACCTACTGCTTCACAGATTGCTTTGGATGTGTAGAGCCATTACTCACTGTAAATTGTGCAGGCCGGCTCGGCTGGGACAGAACAAAGTACTGGACAGCAAGGTTGATGTAAGCTGTACGGTAAGAGCTGATCTTCTTGTGACCCTGCACCAGTTTGTAAAGCTCCAGGCACATCAGGCCAGCTACTGCAGCTGTGGTGGTAGCTATGGCAGGGATGATCCTTCCAGCAATGAGTTTACTCTGTGAAGGAGATAGAGGACAGTTCACTTACTTATTTCTTGCAGCCGAATTCAATATTATCATTTATGGACTATCGATAGAATTGTGCTCAGTTAAGAAGTGCAATTTCCACACTGGTGGAAAGTTAATTTACTTTGAGGCACTTTACATAAGTATTCTCATTTTATGCTATGCAATGTTTCATAACCCTCGACAGGTAAAGTGCTGTGATTAGTTCTGCTCTAGGAACAATAGGTGAGCTGGCTGTTTCTGTGGCTTTAGGGCAGGTGTGTGGAGCACTTACTAAAAACATGACCCCAGGGGAGGGGGAGCAGTCAGTGGTATTTTCTTGTACTGTACTTTATAATCTACTATACAACATCTGTCACTTCAGCTTCATCTCACTGATTTTCCTGTATAATTTTCACTGTTACTGATACACGTAGTGAAAATGTTGACCTGGTGACGATCGGCTGCAGGGATGTCATAGTTCTCTGCCCTCAGGTTAGAAGCAGCAACGATGTAGTCCATGTGGAAGTTACTGTCGTCATCCTGTGCCGGGTAAAATGTTAAACATGTATCAGACAAGTAGATAACACTCCACAGCTTGATACACAAAAACAAAAGCTATGTACATTTCTGTGTAAAATTAAAAGCAAATACAAATTAAAAAAAAAAACTAAGAAGTTAGTTTTGAAATTAACTACGTTACTGAACAAATTGCTAGGAGGTGAGAACATATCTATGTCCATTCCAAGACACATCTCCAGTGACGTGATTCTAAATTGCATTGTAGGCTTTGTTGTTGTGTCACCTAAATCACTCTAACACATTACTTGGTCACTCTATTAGAAAACAGAGGAAATCAGATTTCTGTTATGATCGACGTGGCCAGTGAGGTCATGTCTCTGCTACTGCTGCTCTTCAAAGGGTAGGAAGACTACTGTCACTCAGGGATGGCTTTAGGGGTTGTGAGGAAGCTTCAAGCTGGCAACTTGATGCCTCTGAAACACTCCTACACACATTCCATCTATCCACAGCATGACATGGGCATGAAGGGATAAAAACGAAGAGGAGGGGGAGTGTGGTAGTTTGGGAGACTTCATTCTTACTCAAGAAGACATTCGATACGTACCTCACTTATCTCATACACCTTCATTACTGCTTCTCCTGAGTCACTGAATGCTTTATCAGAACCTTATTCGGTCACTTTCCACAGCCTCTCCAAATTCAAAACACTCATTTCTGCAATTACAGCAGCTGCATCCTTTATGGGTTGCTTAAAGCTCTTTGTTGAGCCTGAGGCACCTCACACACATGGCAGTAAAGGTTTTCTTCTGCCAGCCAACCACCTTCTAGCCACCGCTTTATCTAACCACTTCCATATTACAGGTTTCAAAGTGGTTCTGTTGCCTCCAACATCCATGCAGAAACAGAGGAGGCTTGGTGAGAGGTCAGAAATTAAATGAATCTTTTCCAAGATTTCCCAGGAAACTTGGGAAAAGGGGATCAATAGGTAAACAGATAAATACAGGTAGATAGTTCAGATGCATAGGACAGATTAATTAAGGATGCAATGTAAAACCTATATTTGGGTAGTAACATCCACAATGATTCAAGAATTTTGCATTTATTCCAATTGCCTATTTACTTAATGTTACTACTGATGATTTTATTGGCAAAGGCTCTGCAATTCTTTTATAGGTAGTTTAAAATATGTATTTTACTATTATGGTCCAGCTCACATATTGTTGAAATGTAGATGGTGCAATTTGCTGCACTAATTCTTTTGGAAACAAAACCTGTACATGTTCTTGAGAATCTAGATTTGGGGTCAATGAAGAATCGAATTCTTTTTCCTGTTTTGTTCTTGTGCAGCTCTTTTGGGTGTGTTGTCGTATATGGTTTCATGTGCATCCAATACTGTATATTTCTTCAACCTACTTACTTTCTACAACTGTAATGCTAATTTAATAATTTACTCACTTGGAGGCTGTTGTTTCATTGGGTAATGTACCCCAAATCTCTGGGGCCATCCATGCATTCCCAGTGGATTATCTTTTTTTTCTTTGCTGCAGATAAGTGAGGCGACTTGAGGATTTTCAAGTGTTTTCTACATGTGTTTTGTGGCCATGTTCACCTAAGGGTCACATGTAAGAAGAGGTTCTAGGGATGCTATACTGTGCACTGGTGATGACTGACTACACTGAAACAAATGATTAGAAGATATCTTTGGGAATTTTCTGAAGAGATGCATGTATCCGTACCAGATACCTTATAATTATAAAGTCCATTATAAAAATGAACTTTATAATTATGGACACAGGATGTGTCTGTCCCCAAGTTACTGAGTGCACTGCATTTCACCAAAACTGTGCTAAAGCAGCTCTCATATAAACTCATACAGATATAAACCTGTACCATGCATGCTGGCTGACTGAACTGCTTTTGCACACTTCTAAAATATGCCTTAGCTGTTAGGTGTTATAGCAATGAACACAGAACACAAGCAAGATTTGTTTCATGAATTTGTTGGGGACCAGCTCAGATTCAGTGTCACAGTGTCAGGAAGCAAAGGTGGGTGAAGAAACCCCCACAAATTCTGAAAGCTCCTGTACACAGATTCATGTGTAGCTTCCTGCTAAGGCTCAGTCGTCACTCTGTCTGCAGCTTCTGCTGCGTGTGCAGCAGAGGTGACACTGCACTCTTGTCCTACCTTCTCAAAGTCAATGGGGTACGTCTGCATGGCTGAGCTTTTCAGAGATGATGCCAACTTTCTTTTCAGCTCCTCAAGTTGAGCCTTTTCTGGTGCAAAGACACAGACATGATAAAAAAAGGCATCCTGGAATAAAGAGGAAGTAAAAACAGGAAATAAAGGCAAGGTAAAACAACTCACCTGCGTCATCACTTTCCTTTTCTTTGTCCTCCTGCATCTCCTTGTCAGTGAGAGGAATCTTCACAGAGGACTTGGGAGTGAAAGATGGTACATGGACTTTCTCTAAAATTTTTCTGATAGATTCACAGTCTCTTGTCCCGTTGATCCCGTAGATTTGCCCATACAGATTAGCTGCTGCGACCACATAGTCCATATGAGTATTCTAAAACAGTATCCAAACATAAACTGTTAATAATAGTGAACACTTATCCTCAGGTATCACATCAAGGGGTATTTCTTTTACATGCATAGGGAAGACAAACCTGTAGAAAATCTGTAAACAATACTGAACACAAAATAAAAGTAGTTGATTTACACTGACTAAACACTGAGGTGGGGGTAGAAAGATATTCAGTTAGGGCCAAACTGATTCCCTGACACAATAAATAGCTGTAACAAGTAGCTCTCTCAATCCACATTCTCTCTGCCTCTCAAAATACACACACAAAGATTCTCTTGTGGCAGTGACTGCTGTTTACCATACAACAGCAACTCAGTCTTACTTCTACAATAGAGTACAACACTGTATTCAATTCACTGATAAGAAGAGTTGCAGCAGGTGATAACTCTGCACAAGACTGATACAACTGTGATGTCTTAAGTGAAAACATTTTAAAATTGTCAAAGAGGGATATCCGAACTGGACTGATACGAATACAATGTAGTTGTTAGTATCTGCCCTGTAATGGATCTGTAGTTCTGAGAGTGCATTGTCCAGCTTCTTTTATTCATGTCAGTAATTTAAGATAATAAACTTAATACTTTTGGAACCAGGACTTGATCTAGTTTTTGGATCAAGAAGCTCCTGAAAAATACAATGTGCCAAATTAATTTCAATTTCAATATGTCACATATTGAATAAACATCTGCTGTAGGTAAATAGAGGTATCAAACTGGAAGTGGTGTTGGCAGATATTTAATATTAAAGGAATCATATTGGTATCGGGGCCAAAAAACCTGGATTGGGACATCCCTAGTAAACAGTGGGGCTATCAAGGATGTTAACATGAGAGGAGAACAGACCATTATCTGCCTTTATTTTAAATGGCTCAGATAAGAATCTAGTATATGGTCAGAGTGAGGAAGAGCCACTATCAGACCAGATAAAGAAAGAATGTGTGATCATCACTAGATATTCTAGCATTTTTCAATCATTCCCATCAGAATTGAACCAGACACTACTCACATTAATAGGGTCAAAGGTCAGTGGGTGAGGGCACCTCTTGGTTCCAGACCAGAAGGGTAGACCAGTAGGGGTCACCTAAAGAGAAGCAGAAGAAAATCCCTTAATCATAGTGATTGACCATTGAAAAAAATCATAAGAATAACAACAATGCACTGCTTCTTACAGTCACCTTTACTGGCACAGCTTAGTGTAGTTCAGCATAACTCACCCAAGACAACAATAATGTGATTATGTCCCTCATAAAAAGGAACTAATGTTATATTCCAAACAACAGGGAAAAGTATGACATATTCATTGCATGGTTAGCACAGTATGCCAATAAATGACCTGATAAAACATACTTGTACCACAGGAGGAGGACTACAACATTCCCATGGCACAGCAAGACTAATAATGTTCTGAGTTGTGTGTTAACTACACAGTTTGTATGTCTGATAAGAAAACAAAGGGACCGAGAGCTTTGATGTTGTCATATGGTCCATATGTTGCGACAGAGAGTCTCCTACTGGTGTGCCAGTTTTCACCGCAGGGGTGCTTTCTATAGCAGCCAAAAGGTAACGACAGCTTTCTCCTTCTCACGATCAGGCTTCAAATGGTTTAGGGGCCGAGCAGGGTAACAGCAATGCTTTGCCCTTAAAAGGTTGATACCAGCTACTTTAAGACTTTATTTCATGTTCTTAACTCTCAGAGTGCTTTAACTAAAAAAAAGCTATAACCCGGATCTTAGGGTCTCCTCTTCCCTTTTTAATGAATCACAGACAGATTTATGAGTTCATAAAAAGTTTGGTTAAATACTAAAATCTAAAGTAACTGTATAATACAGCCATACCATCCTGGATAGGGGGTGCTGAATACTGAATGGGTTGTAAATCCCCTTTGTGTTTTGTGATACTGAGCTATAGCATTTGAATAAAACCGACTTGAATAGACTGCTATGAATTAGTATTTCAGAACTGATTTACCTTGTAGTCTATAAAATGCTAAAATTACTGAATAAATTGGGTGGTGATTCTGATCAGCTTAGGATAAAGATGCTCCCATAATGTCTTTGGATCGAATCCATGCATTGTTCTATGTGTCAAAGTTTAAACACACATGCAGAACCACCCTCACTTCTACGCGGAAGCTCACACCCGGCAAAGCAGCTGCTATGTCATATGTGTGGTCATCTGTCGTGCTTGCGTATTTGTCAGGTTGGTTTATGCCCATTAACTGACACTAAATGCTTTATCGCAGTTCCTCAGAAAGTCTGTGGTCAAACATGACTTTCCAAGCACACACAACTCTTTCATAGGTAACTGGGACAAAGAGAACTGTGGAAGAAAAAAAGAGAAGTACAAAATCATACCCAAAATTAGCACAGAATTTAAGTACAATGTGTTGAGATTATTAAACAAAATGCTCTTGTTTTAACTGCTACTTGTAATATATAAAAACTGATCAATTTTATTAGATTATGTTATTATAATAATAGCAAAAACCATGTTTCTTAAGGGGTGCACAGGGATTTTAGTGCCCTACAATAAATATATATGCAAACAGAATCCTGCTTGCATATATAAGAACATTTCCAAAACCCTGCAAGCACATATTGTATATTGAGGGTAAAAACGACCAGTGGTTGGACTGCAAATGGGGTTAGTAAGGGCCTGTTTGGGTTGATACTGATCCATGCCCCCCCCCCCAGGTGTGACAGCAACATGTGACATCACTCTGTCTGCATGCTTCACCAGATTACAAACCCTCAGACCCGCTCAGAGGCTTTCATCAAAAATGGCTTTTGCTGGATCAGGTTTCAAACCAGGTTAATGGTTTACAAGCCCAGGAGAAGTCGACTGCATGAAGTGAAATGTGAAAAATTAAATGCTCAATAGTATTTCTTTAGTGTAAATGCTATCTTGCTATGTTTAAGTGATTTGTATGCAAAGACCTTAAAACAACAACAGTGCCCCTTTGTGCCCATAAACAGTAGTTTGAGCTTTACAACACTTTAGGGAGGGATGATTTTTCCTCTGGTGTGATTTTACCTGTTTAGGAGGAAAACAGTGCAGAAGCTGGCAAATATCGTTGTTATAGAGGGTCTGCCACTTGCGACGTGCCCAGCTCACACAGTCCTCCCAGCTTGTTGGCCGTTGCCCTCCATCTTTCATGTTTGACAGGCTGTTCCACACCCCCCCAAGAACCTCCAGGGCCTCGGCATCTCCATGGCCAAGAGTCCGCTCTACAAAACTTGAATCTCTGCAGGAAAAAGTACAGGAATGGCAGACACATAAGGCACATAACTGTGGAAAAAAGACAAGGCAGGATAAGTACAATATAAATGTGTCAATGTATTCTCAATACACAGATTCCACACGTTTTGACTTCTAGTCTTATGATATCACTTGTTATTCACTAATAGCTGAGGTGGGGGAGTTGTCCTGAAAAGTGGAAACTGGGAAAGTCCTCATGGAAAAATATTTAGTTCTATCAAGCACAGAGAATGATTATTCAGATCTTTGTCTTCTTAGTGACTCAGAGGGAATTCCTTTGATACTTGGCTGTGGAGTGATAAGAAGGAAAACAAAGTGTTTAGTAAGTTTGTCATGTGCTGGTCAGTGCAACTCTATACCCATTTTGCGCCATAATCGTGTGCCAGCTCATTGTACGTGACATCACACTGTGGAAAAAAAGAGCTTCCTCTGCACATGGTTACACCTAAACAGGTTTAAACAGGAACATTTAGAGTCATGGTTCTGCACAGAGCTGCATGGGTGGAGGAAAAACCCACGAAAACATGACTGTCATTAACCATGACTTAAAATATACTGAACTATGACATGTAGCTGACCTGCCTCGTTAAAACATCCAGAGGAAGCAGAATTTCAGAGGCCTCTGAATAAAGTGTTTACTAAAGTATTTTTATAGGCATAATACATGTTCTCATCAGTGTAATGTGAGAAACTTCACAAGCACTAGTTCTGTTCTAGTCACGATTTTTACTTTTCTGTAAAGACACAAGAAAAAAAGTGTTACAATGAGGGGGATTATACACCAAAACACACAGACATCTCATAGAGACGTCTCAAATGTGGCTGGATTAGAAGGGCTCCGAGGCTCTAGGCTCAAGGCTCAGATGTTGTTTGGCCCTGGAAGCTTACATCTAAAATAAACACAAATATCCTTTGACATGATATAGTACTTTTTCTGCATTAATCTAATCTCTTTTTTTCATTCAGCAAATGTTTCTAAACCAAAACGTCCTGTAATTAGTTAAGACTTTATGTGTTATTTTGAGAAAATGGTGCTGGAGCTGCTGTGAAAGATACATAACAGAGCACAGCCTTGGTGAATCAGACTGTGTATGGCATTTTTACTGGGGGTTTACTGCTAAAAGCCAACCACATGTTTTCCTGTTTATAAAACTGAAAAATGAGCTTGCACCACTTCATTAGCTTTTGTAGGTTTGCTGAAATGCTTTGTAAGACAAAAAAAAAAAAAAAAAAAAAAACTGAAATGTGTTTAAAGAAAAAAAAAAAAAAAAAAAAAAAAAACACAACAAAGATTACACCAGACTAGTGAATGTAGTGTTTTGACAGCATCATGTCTTACCTCAGGAAGAGATTCACATTTTCAGGTGTTTGTTTAAACAGTCCTTCAAACTGGTCTCTGGCCCACTAGAAGAATTGTAATGCCAATTTAGTGTAAAGAAATTAAAATATATCCATGTCAGTAAAATGGCAACTTTTCATATTATATGAAAATAAACTGCGTGGCCCTGTAATAAACCCTACAAATAGCAGTCCAGTAATAGAATTTTAATTTTTTTGTAGACACTGTGAGAGATGTGCGTTCAAATCTTATCATTTTTAGCCACGCAGTGCGAATGGTACTGCTGTTCTGTCAGTCAGCTGGTCCATCACTTTGGTACAGACTAAAATAAATCCATAACTATCAGATTACCGTGAGATTTTCCATAAACATTTGTGTTTTCAGAGGATGAAGCCTGTGACCGGTGATTCACTGACTTTTCCTCTAGTGCCACTACAAGGTTGATATTTTTGGTTTATAGTGAAATATCCTGACAACTATTGGATGGACTGTCAGGAAATCTGGTCAAGGCATTCATGGATCAGCTGTAGTAACTCTGGTGATCCTTTAACCTTCATCTGGCGCCATCATCTGGTCAAATATTAGAATTTGTTTAATGCTTGGTTTAAGACCAAATAACTGCAAAACTAATGATAGCCCCATCATCCTTAGTTGAATTGTTACCACGGTTACCACAGTTACCACAGTTTGATGGTAAAGCCGTTAAACATCATGGTAGTATTTTCATACTGTAGCATTTCACTTGCAGTAATGCTGTGCCTACAGCCTCGGAGAACCGAGGCTGTATTGGACAGCATTATTTTAAAAAGGTTTTTAATGTTTTGTCACTCTATATATGTAAAGATGGTGTATAAAATGTTAATGCAGTCCAGGACAACACTTCCATAACATACTACAAAATTCTGTCCCATAAAAAAACTTAGTGGTCTTAAAAGAAAAAGCTGAACATTTTAAATGTTATAAGTAAGGCCTTTGTTATGTTTCTGGTCAGTCAGTGTAGGTTTTGAAACACACTTAGGTGAATTGATTAGCGTGTAGCTTATTTCTATTATGGCAAGGATGAAGACAAAGCTTAATTAGACTAAATTAAAAATCTTAATCCAACCTGCAAAGTGTGCTCAATGCGATGAGGGAAGTTCTTGAGTGTGCAGAGTGGGATGGATTTATTAGAACTTGATTTGACAGGTCCATAAGACTCTGTCAGGTGAGGCACTACCACCGTCGTATGACCTTTGCTTCCTAGAGTTCCTCCCTCCAGCATCGGCTTCTGATGCTGAACACAGCATCCATCAAGATAGACCCCTGGGCAGCAAAAAGACAGGTTAAACACTTATAATCTTACTTTTATGTGCATTTGTAATCAAATATTTACTTTAAATGCTCTTGCATCATCACTGTGGTAATAAGAAATCAATATAATAATGATATTAAAAACCAACTAAACGTCCTTACTGGCTTCCACATTATCAAGAGCGGCAGCCACTCCATCAAGACCCATAAAGAAGTTGTAATCATACACTCCTTCACTGTCAGGGTCCAGACGATTCTGATGAGCGGTGATTTTCATCTGCGGGTTTATCTCTCGCACTGCTTTGGCTGCAACTTCTGATTTTGGTTTCTGTTTAGAATAAGTGAGAAAATGGGCAGTGTCCCTCATACAAGAGAGACCAGTCGTCTTATATACTCCTACAGTAAACTGCTACAAAACAAAACTATCACAAATGATGAAGAAGAGCAGCTTTTTAAAAATCTCCCACAAGCTGTGAGCTCTGATGGCATGTGAGGCTCTTCACTACAGAGAGGAGGTCATGATACTCTGTGTTTTCTCACCCCTATATCCTGAGACCTGAACAGGAACTGACGGTTCAAGTTGGATCTTTCTATGAAGTCCATGTCAGTTACGGTGATTTGCCCTTCTTCTCCTGCACCAAGCCCAATGAGGGCAAAATTTTTGAGAAGCTCACAGCCAATAGCGCCAGCTCCAACCTTAAAATGTGACAAGAGAGAATGTGTGTCAGAATAAAAGTGCAATAGCCCAGACAGTGTGACTGCATGACACCAAATTATTAAAAAGTTGAACATATAGTGTTCAAATTAAAAATTGTTTTTGATATTGTAGCATCTACAAAATTATTTATCTAGCCAAACTGCTTGTTGACTTTGTAATACTGTGTGTGTGGAGTTTTTACAGTGGTACAAGAAACATGTAAGGGCTTGGCACTGTTGAATGGCCCCTCTGCACCACAAGGTCAACACTGGCAGGAAATGCCACCTGAATCACAGCCATTTCCTGCATGTGCTATCAATAACACCAGGAAAGATGAAAGGAAAACACAAATGGAGCTTTTCTAGTGCAGAGTGTGCCTCCTACTGGACAAATGTCAAACCTGCCCTCACCAGGAAATACTTCTGCCTCTCAAGCTTCTCCTGGAACGCTGGTCCAAACACAGCAATCTGTCCATCGTACCTTGTGCCTTTCTGTCAGAAAGTAAAAGAAAAGCAGGTAAATTCTACCTAGTTGAAGTTTGGTGGTATATAATTGTTAGAGTTAACGGTGAAAAGAACTGGGTCCAACAATATGTATGAAAGGAATGGGTGTCTAAATGCAAACATACTGCTGAAAAGGAGCACTCTGCTTGTGGATCCTCCGCTTCAGGGAGGCACTCAAGGGCATCAAAGTATAGCCACTGCCGAAGAGGTGTAAATTTCCTACAACATGCCTGCACAAACATACAGTGCACAGAGTACAGTGCAATCATTTATACTGCGTGCATGACTGGTGTTAGGTATGTTAAACACAGTACAGAATGTTTTGAAATGCTTCATTAAAGACAAAATCTAAAGCCGATGAATTAAATTAATGTTACAAGCTTCAACTTTTGAGCTCACCTTAATAACTTCTTGTGCAGCAAGGCCTCCAATGAAAGCATTGATAGGAGCCAAGTCGCCCTGGGCTGTGTAGGACAGGTGTCGAACAGCAGCTTCATCTAGCTGTTCCAGCTGTGCGACTGCATTCAGCTCTCTCACTATAACAAGCAGGGTGTCTGCATCTGACTGTGTGGGATTTATTTTGATTAAATGTTTGTTTTAATTAATAAAATATCAGTTATAATAGCCTGTAACCTTCACTGACCTGAGACTGAATATGAGGGAGTCGATGTTCTTTCTTCACAAAGCTATGGAGAGCTTGGAAAGCCAAGTGCAGAGTCTTATGTCTCGATATTTTACCAAAATCATTCATTTTCAGCAGTTCATAATCCAACAGAGCCTCGCTCAGTGGTTTCTGCAATTTATGTTATAGTTGTTTTATTTTCAAAGCAAAAAAACAAGAAAGATAATAAATTTACAAAATGCTGATGCTTACAAAATTGAGCACGCAGGACTGTTTAACCTCAGTCACTACTCCACCACGTTCATACTTAGAAAAGGCTGAAGTGTCACCAATGCTGAAGGAGTATGGGCCTGGTGATAAGAGGTGGCAAGTGAGAAACAGAAAAAACATTAATAAAAATTCTCATCACATCTATTGAATTCTACTGGGATGCTCTTAGGGAAAGTCAAAAATGTTGAGTGATATTTGGAGGGCCGGAGTGTCATGACTCCACTGTGTATGTCAAATCTCAACAGCTAAAGGAAAGTGTAGGTAAAAAAAAGTAGTCATGATATAATAACACTGACTGAGGACTTTGATCTCCACAGGTCTGATGCTGTTCAGCTCGGTCATGCCTTGAACTTCAGAGAACGAAACTTTAATGCCATCCGAAAATCCATGGTTCTGGTCATCTGTGCAGATCACCACTCCAGGATTTTCCTAAAATAAAGTCAGTGTTGACAACCTTTAAATTTGAAAGAAATATTGTAATAGTAACGCCCACGTAACCTAATTGTCTACACCGTTAAAAAGATGTAAAAGACAGTTGGATCTGGAATAATATACATTTTAATGAGAAGCTTTCTGTGTAGAAATTGTATGTCCTTCCTGTGCTTTTATTTTATAGTGCAAAGATGTGCAGGTAAATGTTAACCTAACTCCAGATTTCCCATAGGACTGAGTGAAGGCTGCATGGATGGATGAGAAAGGCCCTTAATGGGCACTAACATAAAACAAATGGGAAGCATTACCTTGGAGATACTCTGGATCATTGTCGATGCAGGCATCTCTCCATCCTGGTCCAAGACCTCAAACTCGTCCCCAAAGTCACAGAACAGCTGACTGCAAATGAACCACTAAGTTTTCACATCTTTCTTTCATCCATTATTAATTCCAGCCACTCATTTTCTGTCACTTGTTATGCCCACTTACCCACAGAGTCCTTTAGTGTCTGCTACAATGAACTTGATCCCACGCAAATGGCAAAACGCGCCAAAGCGTTTCTGATCATCCAGTGAGGAATCAGTGAGGACCACCACCTGAAAATTGGAAGAATTTTAGGTAATTTCTAGATCATCAAACTTTTTTGTGGAGAAGCCATATCAGACAGAAAAGTTAAACTTTTAGTTTTAGACTTGATGCACCATTAGGTAAAACAGTTCAAGAATACCTGAAACTGCAGAAGCAGGTCTTCATTCAGTGGTCCAGTGTGGGCCGACACGCGCACATGTGGGTTTAAGGCGGACAGCTGTTGTAGGGAACATTTGGCTCGATTTTCACCAAGATGGGACTCCTTCAGAAAAAACTGGTGAGAAAATGAAATTACAGATTGTCAAAGCAATCTCAACTCAAGCTCCACCTGTACATTTGTGTTGGAGTTTCTGACTATATCACACAATCTTAGCAGAGAGTTGGGTGTGCTTAGCTGTTGTTAAACAGAAACCAAAACAGTAACAAACTTGTTTAATTCTTAGCATGTCTAGAATGAACTGCTGTTTCCAAGGTCAAGAATAAACCACCAAAGTTATAAGTTATTTGATAGATTTTTTTGTGGGGCAATGTTTGTTTAAGCCTTGACAGCAACTTAAAATAATTTGTGGTGACAATTTGTTGCATAGAAGTAGAGAGTAATAATGAAAGTAAACTGACTTCCTTTCAAAAGGTTATTTACAATAACCAGCATACTACATTCTTACTCACATGAAAAGCCAAAGTTATTAACCTTTAGGAGAGTCAATATGTTAGATGTTAGAGCAATTATTTAATATTACAGCTTAAGTAAGATTTAAAAAGTTAAATATTGAGCCCTTTTCAATTGTCAAATGTTTATGTAATAATGTGAATAAATCTTAGTTATATAGTTATTCCACATCTGACTACATTAAATAGACAAGCAATAGTAAAATATACATATATAATTTAAACAATATAATTAAACTTGAACATTTTGACAAATTGATGTTCTTCTAACAGGAAGTGCTGTTTTTTGTTTTACTTAAACCAAAGTGTGTGAGTTATCTGACTGACACAAAGCCAATATCTTCTAAAATGTGTATCCTCTTTATTCAACACCAGGTGCTTAGTACCTGGGAGGACAGGTCGGACCACACTGTCTGGCCTTCGTCCTGGACGGTGACAGATTTGACTCCGGACAGAATCACATTCTTGGCTATTTCTACTCCGAGACCACGCATGCCTGATACGAGGACGTCGGCGGTGCCCATCCGATGCATCGCATCATGACCCAGAACATACCTGTGCAGGTAAAAGAACAAGCAGATCATTGGACCAGCACTTACCTCATCCTTACGTGCTGTAGTGGGCTACTTACAGCTGTCTGGAGTAGAATCCTTCATCGATTTCACCGATTTCTGACATGCTGCTCTTGTAGTCCCCAAAACGAAATTGCCAATTTGAAATCGAGGATCAGCTGGACACACTTTAACCCAACAGGACAAACCGGGAACAAAACGTCAGTTATGAGATGACAGCCCTTTATATGAAACCAGTTCACTTTCGTTTTTGAGTCCTTGTACGGTTTGTCCTTGTGCCAAAAATATTTTCTAGCCTGGCCACTAGAGGGCGGCACCGACAGTTTTTCGACTTCTAACCAAGTTCCCCTGTCTGCAGCCTGGAGGATGGGGTGGAGCTGCGCTTCTATTACACTGTGTACTTTGTGGAAACTTTTTGTAGGTTTAAATTAAATTTTATTTTCAAGTAACATTTAAGGTGTAACGTTCAACTTTGAAAACCACTTTATATATAAGAAAAAATACCACTCTACTCAAAAATACATTCTACTGATTATTACTTACTGTAGATATCTAACATTGCAGTTTCTCTTTGCTTACCCTAAATCTGACTTTCACAGTGAAGGAGAAGAGGTTGATTTAATAAAAATGAAACATCTAAAAAGTTAGCAAAACATCTTTGTGAAAAACAAAACTTGTTAGTTTAAAGCTAAGTATTTACTTAAAACATGTCTGGAAGGCATCTTTCATGGTTCCATGGTGACAGTAACAATAATACACCCTAGTATTGCACAATTTGGTCAGTCTCGGTCTGGCAGTGAGTCAAAAAAAAAACACCCAGAAGAAAATATTGTATGCATAGGAAATGATTCATTATTACATACCAAGTAAAGGTAGTAAAATGTCAAACCACTAAGCTCATTGTGTGTCAGTAAGGAACAGGGAAAAAGGGCTAAAAGAGGAATCTGACATCAGTTCTATATAATGGTTGAAATTACTACAATACATCTTAGATTATATAACACTTTGTTTGGAACAGTTTCACCAGAAGTTATGGTTGTAATCATAGTTGTTTGTTTATTTCCTTTCTTTTATCAATCACTTCAATTGTAAACAGATATTTATCAGCTATCAGGCATAAGTGTACTACATAATAATTTATGATATATGGCATCATGGTAACCTGAATACAGCTTAAGATAATAACAACTACGGATCAGTGTTTTGTTGCTGTCTTTCCAAGATAGAGAGCTGGAAAAGTGCAGGTAGTCCAACAAAATGAGGTCTGTAGATACCTTATAAGAATCAGATATTCATGTAATATGCTTATCAGTGAGAGGAAGCACTTTTTAAACTTTATGCTAAACTAATCAGTAAATGCAATATATAGACAATCGCCATAATTGCTTTTTATTGTCAGCCATTGTTAGAGATGTATCTCTGACAACAATAATGGCTTTCATTTTTGATCATGCATTTTATATTCTAGAAAAGCCACTAGTTTACATTGTCTTGGTTAAATTTAATACAGAAGATGAACACTTTCTGTATACAAACAATGTGTTTGGTAAATGGCCTTTAAACACACCCCTAAACATGAAAATTGACTAGAAATTGATCTGTGTGAAAAACATAAACATGATCATTTGTTTTACTGTTAGTATACTAACATGCCTTTACATTTTTGCCACTTGCAAAACTGTAGGAAATAATATTATTGTAATATTTAATAGCAGGTTATTTTAAAACCTGTGAATTTCATCTCAGCAAATACTATATCTTGATTAGTAATGGCACAAGATATTTCTTGTATGCAACAAATCTTGCAGGGCCCGTGGTTCTGCATGCACTGATTGGTCCCCATCTTATGAGTCATGTCTGTGAGTTGCACAGGGACAGATTGAAACTCTGGAGTTGTCCTTAATACGCGGTTTCTTAAACAGCTTCAGTCTAACAAGCCCTTGTCCAGCTCCAGTCAAAACAACTTTCTCTGTTATGCAACTCTTTGCTTAAGGATCTGTTGTAGTTTTTTCTATATCATTAGGACTAATTATACTGTATGTTTATGGTTTGAGGTTTGGAGCAGTAAAAGTGTTAAGAATGACAGTAGTGCATTTTTTTTTTCTTTGGAAGAATATGGTACCATAAACTTTTGAAACAGCATATGATTACTGAATTTTGGATTCAGTGGTAGATGTTTAACTTTTGTATATGTATTGCTTCATTGTCAATGATAATGTTTCTCTTTGGAGATTGATGCATAGCTTCATTTATAATATAGTTCAGTTGTCAATGTCCATCAGAGCCAGCTTAGTTTATTCCTCCTTGATGTCAGTGTTAATAGGTCACGTTGCTTTACATTACGTTAAAAGAGCTGGTATGACTAGATAGTAGCTCACCTGCATTTGAATAATAACTCATTTGGACTGGAAAAATCTGGACTGGAAAATTTTTCCACTAAATTTGACACAACGCCAGAGCGGAAAGAGTTTCCGTTACTAATACCCTATGACTTTTGTGAAAGGAAACGATGAGGGTATATTTAAAATGGGCCTATTTCGCAATTTTTGCATACTTCCTTGTTGCGGGAGCGGCTTGACAGTTCCAGGACAGGACGCACCCGCTTGGGGAATATAAAAGTCAAGTCAAATTGACGATACCATTTCCTGCGTTCAACCTTCAAAATAAATTTTAAATCAACTCAAGGACATGTTACAACGTTTCCTGAGTGGGCCTAATACAAGCAGGTGAAACTGTTGATTATGAAGGATGTGGTATTTGTGTTGCAAAGGTGGATTAGCAAACACAGAAATAACAACAAAAGAGGTAGAATATGAATTAATGGGCTACTTATTTTAAAACAAGGTCCGTCCGCTCAAATTGAATTTCAAACAAAAGTTGTTTTTTTTTAACTTCATCATTTAGTGAACTACAGTCTTATTATAGCTAATATCTGTAAGATCTCCGTGTTTAATGGTTACAGTATATATATTGTTAAAGTATAAATAATTATTAGGTAACCTATTGTACTGTGGAGAATTACTGCTTTCTATTTTATTTAATTTTATATTACTTATTTTATTGTATTTGTTACTGAATTAATATAGACGTCAATTGATAAATAAAAACTATTCATGGTATAATTTTTTAAAAGCAATATAACACATTTTAGTACACTTCCGTCACGAGGGCTTCGTCCTCCTCGCTTTTAATTTGAAAGTGTGTAACATCCTGTTTTCGTCCATAGTGTGGAGGTTATCGTTGACTTGTAGTCCGGCGTTATGCTTTGCGTCAGTAGCACATCGACTCTGTCAGGTGAATATTTGCTGCTGCTAGCTGGTGAGTGAGTGGAGGAAATTTATCTAAGGAGTTCGCATTTTGAGATTATTACACACATTTCGACGACACCGCAAAATCTTGTCAAAGCGAGGTAAGAGTCATTTATTGTAGGTTATATAGTTTTTTTTTATGGCGAGACTATGTCTGGAGCAGCATGAAAGACACTTTTGCTATCTAGCGTTAATTCGCAACTCATCGGATTATTGTCAGTAGCCTACAAATAATCTTAATTAAAGTCACTTTGATTTTGATGTCCTCCTCACCTTACAGAGCAGTGAACATATGTTCTTGTCTCTTTTAACTTTTTTTTTAAATTGTTGTGCATTGCCCAGTGTATTAAAATAGAGAATACAGGATAACTGCTGAATCATTTGTCCGTTCATTGTGCTGTTTTTACTTTTTGACAAACTTCATTGTATGTTAGTCTTTCTTCTGTGTATGGTCTGCAAACATTTCCATGGTTGCTCCACATCTTGCAGCAAGTCGTGTCTTGCCCAGAGTAGATTTTATCTTGACTTGTCCTCCCCCCTACACACACACACACACACACACACACACACACACACACACACACACACACACTGCCTTTGACACATCTGTGCATATCAAGTCTTATTTATTTTAAATGAAAGAAAAAGCAGAAACTACCTAATCGCTGAACTTGGGGAGAAAATAACAGCAGAGATTTTTTTTCTCCTTCCTTAATTCATCATGCTGGATGTCTCAGTTTAAACAAGCTAAAATATTTACAGTATCCTCATCCACTTCAAAAACATCATGTCACTGTGTTCCGTCTGTTACATCTTAACATTCCCTCTCTCTCACCCCTTGCAGAGCTCCTGTTGGTTCTCCAAAATGCTTTCTTTGAGGAAAGTATCTTATAGGTAGCATTCAATCACAGTGAACTGTGACGTGGAGATGGTCACTTGGGCTGCCTTGTTGACACTATGCATATGGCTACGAACACAAACTGGCTCAGGACAGCACACGTGTCCTTCTGTTTCTCGCCGGCTGGTGGATTTCACTGTAAAATACTCCCTCCCCTACTTCCAAACAGACAAACCTATACAGAACATAGCGGTCAGCAGGGAGGAGCCACAGCTAGATGTGTACGTTGGATGCCAAAATGTAATCGAAGCAGTCAACAATACTATGAAAAAAATATGGCATGTGAAAACTGGACCTGTTGGTAGCCCTGAGTGTGAAACCTGTAATGTGTGTAACATAGGAACAGATCCTGGGGATCCAGTGAATACAGACAATGAGGTACTGCTTTTTGATTCGAATTTGCTATACTTGTACATTTGTGGAAGTACTCAGCATGGGATCTGCTACTCCATTGACGTTAGCTCTTCGCAGCCTGAGCCTCACTGTTTGTACAAGAAAGAGCAAAACTCTCCATCCAGCTGTCCTGACTGTCTGGCCAGCCCACTTGGTACCATAGTCACCACGGTTGACGAGGGAGCCACATTGTTCTTCTTTGTAGCAGCCTCTGTCAATGCCACAGTGGCACAGAGATATCCCAGGAGGTCGATATCTGTGGTGAGGCCACTTTCAACTGAAGATGGGTTTCATATGGTCATGAATGGCCTGACAGTACTTCCCGGTCTACAGGACTCTTACAGGATCGATTACATCTACAGTTTCTCCACCAAAGAGTATGTCTACTTTCTGTCCCTGCAAAGAGAAAACCCATCAAAGAGCAATTCAGCTTTTCAGACTCATTTGGGGCGATTGCCTATAATGATTCTCGAGGTGTGGATGTACAGAGAGGTGATTCTGGAGTGCCGGTTTGAACCAAAACGCAGGAGGAGAAAGAGGGCGGATTTCAAGGACATTGTATACAACGGGCTACAGGCGGCTTACTTTGGACAAGCAGGAAAGGACTTGGCTGATGAGCTGGGGGTGGATCAGACAGACAATATTCTGTATGGGGTGTTTGCAGAGGTGAATGTGCGTGGCCAGCCTAATAAGAACTCAGCCCTGTGCGCCTTCTCTATAACTAACGTAAACCATGCGATTGATAAGGGAGTGGAGGCCTGCTGTAAGTCGGGTTCAGAGCAGCTGTCCAGAGGTCTCTGCCACTTCCAGCCATGTGAGAATTGCCCACATGAAGTGAGTAACTCTTTTTTTATATCTCACTATCATTAAAGCAGAGGTATAGTACAAAGGTTGTGCTGTTGTCAGATAAAGTGACCTGCCCAGACAAACAGTGTGTAATTAAGTCACCTGTGGTTGGAACAATGTAGCTTATCACGTAGCATGCAGTTTTATATTGTGCTCCTGGTAAATTGCGTACCTGTTGCAATTCTGAAGGTGTGTGTGTGAGAGAGAGAGCAGGGCCAGATGAGAAATCTGGGAGGGGTGGATGAGTCAGTGGAGTGACCTGCACGTTGCCACACCGTTTTACTGTTCTGTTAAGTTTCTGTGTTTCTCAGTGAAAGGGTGGCAGCTGTTTACAGTACAGAGCTGTTTTATGAGATATGTATTTCGAGATAAAGATATGGGGATTTCTTCACTGCAGTGAGATGAATTCTTCTACATTGAGCTTTTTATGAATTTGGTTATGCCAGAGAAGAAGGGTAAATGGAAAGTAATGGAAACTCAAAAGGTTAAAATAATATGCAGAGTTTACTCTAAAAAAATGCCTTTAAGGAATAGAGTATTTGGCTGCAGTTCTTCACAAAATAATAAAGGTGTGGGTTTTTTTTTTCTTTTTAAGAACACAAACAATGTCCTTACAGTTATGTGTACACCTACAGGAATGCGAGTCAACAATGTGTGTTGATAAAAGGGTGGAATTTCAAGGGTTAAGACAGTGTTGGACTGTGCCTGGCTTTTATGTATTTTCCTTGAGTGGGAAATAGGAAGAATACTGGAGAAGTGGGGAGCAGGAAGAAAGGAATCCTCCTTTTACTCAGTCAAATGCTGGTTATCGCAAAGCTGTCTTAAAACTGTCAGTATCATACAGTTAAATATTTGGAGAATTGGGTTTGTGCAATAAAAAAAATCTTGGATACCATATGTGTTCAAGCGTGAAATGCTGAAATACAAAGTGACTGAAAAGATCAAATGACGTAAACATCAGGCATTCAAATAGCAGGAAGCAAATAGGGACATGCTGGGGCAGGTCAGCTAAATTGCTTTGAAATGGAATGTTTACCATTGGTTTTGACATATCCTGTCTTCTTTTCAATAATTACTTTTTGTTACCATTGTGACTCATATTCTGCCAACTATCCACACACATCTGCATTCTGCAGTTTTATGTGTGTGAAAGTATGGAAAGTCCAGTTTCAGTGGCTGACAGTCACAAAGTCAATATGCGGAGCTGGAGTCACTGCTGTTTTATGACCTTGTTCCTCTCATAGTTTATTATTATGACTGGAGGCGAGCACACTTCCTGTATAAATGGATTAATTAAAACTGTCTTCACTGTCTCTTTCTCTCTTTTTTTCCTCACACTGAAGAGTATTCATGTTTACAGCATACACTACCAGTCAAAAACTTGAACACACTCTCTCATTCAACTGAATGGGAAAGTGTGTCCACACCTTTGACTGGTAGCGTATGCTGTATGTGCTTAGAGGGAGACCATTGCTGTTGAAGGCAGACACAGGGATAAGAATGCTAAAATGAGAATGCTAAGTGTACGCATCTCTTTGTGCTAATACCCTTGTGTTGTATGCGTTGGTCCCGTTTGCACAGAGCTATGAAGGTAATGACAACTGCAGCGCCATGCCCACTCTGGTGTCACAGCCATTCTACAGGGTAGACCTCTTCAACAGCCAGATGAGGGATGTCCTATTTACTGCTGTCCTGGTCACCACTCTCGGGACTCACACACTGGGCCACTTTGGTACCTCAGATGGCAGGATACTGCAGGTAACATGATGCCTGGGGATGAAGTAGTGATGTCATTGTGGTGTAATCGTGAGTGTGCCTCTGCAGTTTGAATGTATTGTACCAAATATAGATGTTTCTCTGCTTTTTAAAATCAAGTTCAGTTCCATGTCCAAACTAAATATTTGTATATTTTCACTGTCTGCCAGCCAAAGGCAGGTGCATATTAAAAGTACAAGAAAAGAAAACATTACTTCTCTGTGTCACTGGCTTAGGTGATTCTTACAAGAAACAAGCCTTTGGTTTTTTCCAACTATTCTCTGGGAGAGCAGAGTGTATCCAGGACAGCAGCTGTGTATTCAAAGGATTCACTTCTCTTTGTACTTGGAAATAAGGTACATTTTGTAATAGCTGCTGTAGGTACTGCTTTCATTTCTCTCTGTTATATCAGACTTTCTCCACCTTCATGTTTTTCTCCCTTTCATCAAGATGTTCAAAGTTCCTACTGTAGGACCTGGGTGTGCACATTTTATGACGTGCTCCATGTGTTTGACGGCTCCACGCTTCATGAACTGTGGCTGGTGTTCGGGAAACTGCTCAAGGCAGGATGAGTGTACCTCGCAGTGGAACAAAGACTCTTGTGCGCCTGTCATAACAGAGGTAGATCTCCTTCTAGCTGTAAGTGATTAACCAAGGCATGAAGTTTGAACACTGAGATGCTGAATGCTACTCTGTAGTTCTTCCCGAAAATGGCACCTGCTGGTGGTGAGACACTAGTGACTCTGTGCGGTTGGGAGCTTCAGTCTGCTCTGCGGCCTGCCGTCATCGGCGGCAAAACACACACGATCACAGTGGGCTCGAAGACCTTGTGTACTGTCCTGCCTGAAAACAGCAGTAGTGAAGTGTGAGTAACACACATGCAGAAATATTGTATGCACAATACCACACAGTGAACTTTTTCAGAATTTGAGCTGGAAGTTGCGAACTACTTGCCAAAAGTGAATGGTATTCACTAGCTTAAATTTTAAAATGCTAATGTTATTCAGCTTTTTTTTGGCTCAAATCCTGATGCAATATTACTGGTACAGACATAACAACTGACAGGGTCATCCGGTTTATATAATTTAAGGAGGGAAAGTTTCTCAGCACATTTCATCAGAAACATTTAATCCTTGTAGATACATGTTTGATGTCTTCAAAAGATTAGTTCAGTCTCTGGATTCTGTGGAGACATCTCAGCGAGCTGGAAATTGGTACAATATGAGAGAAATTAACAGCAAATACAGTTAAAAATGTGGTTAGAAATTAAGGCATTTTTGACTTCTTTATGTTATATAGGTATTCAAAATAAAACTGTCAACAAATTTGAGAATGAATGGAATAACTCTATCTACAGAATCTATTTAAGCAGATAATTCCTTATGTCCTTTTCATAGGCTACTATGCAAGATTCAGGAAAAAAGACCAAACCAGAATCTTACCATCACTCTGGAAGTGAACGAGGAGAAAGTGGGGGGACCGTACTCAATCCAAGGCACAGCTCGGATGTCTGGCTTCTCTTTTGTGGTGAGAATAATAACTTTGATTTAATTTAAACCATTTCTATGAATATTACTTATACATTATAATATTTGTGGAACTAATTTGTGTATAATGCAATGTTTTGTTGTAAAGTGACATATGACCCTCTTGTCCAATCAGGAGCCTAGTTTAACAGAGGTTGGACCTGACTATGGACCCATGTTTGGAGGAACAACGGTGACACTAACAGGCCAGTATCTTAATTCTGGAAGACAGAGAGAAGTCTTCTTTGCTGACAAACATTGCAACATTCAAAGGTGAGCAACGTAGAAAACACACAACATTTCGTCTGCATAATTTGGGTTTAGTTATTCGTCTTGAATTGTACAAATGTAGTTTCTGTTACTGTATCTGTATTGCTCTCAGTGTTCCTGAAGGAAATGGAACTTCATCTTCAATCATCTGCCAAACACCATCTGCAGCAGAAGTTGGGCAGGTACCCGTGAAAGTTGTCATTGACAAGTTTGTGACCCCCCCTAAGATGTTTTTTTACAAGAAAGACCCTGTAATAACCTCTGTACATCCTCTCTGCAGTTTCAGAAGGTAGGAGGCCGACCCTAGTCCCTGACCTTTGTCAGATTAAGTGATGCCACTACAGTAAAACAAGACAGTGCTAATAACATATTCATTTATGCTGTCATGCAGTGGCTCAAGACTGATGATCGAGGGTCAGAATCTTGACTCCGCCCACAATACTGTGGTTGAGTACATTTCCAGTAACCCTGACATAAAACTTCAACAAGTAAGTTAACTCTTATTCTTATTTAAGACAGAAAATTGCTCATTAACTTTGTCTTGTGTGCGGAGAAATACATTAAAATATTTGAACATATAAATTGGACAGCAATTTGTGGACCTGTTCATGAATGTCAGTAATGGGTGGCTGGCCGTACTCATTCTTTCTGAATATTTCTTTCCTAATATACCAAACAACTGCAGTAGCTGTGATTTCAAACAATATTTTATTTGCTGGCTTCACTTAAGGTCTGCAACGGCACAAACAATGGCACACATATGGAGTGCTGGGCCCCTGCTTTTCAAGAGGAAATGCCAGAAGATCATCCTGGCATGGGAAGGATTGTTATTCACATAGATGGAAAACATGACCTCTGGACGAAACGTTTTGACTACCACCCTGATGCCACAGTCATTCCTTTTGAATATGATGACAATGTATTAGTTCTAAAACGAGGAGATACAAATGTTTCATTGCATGTATGTTTACACAATCTTACACAGTTTTTTTTCCATATTTTATATAACTAATTTGGGATGTTTGCATTAAAATCTCAGTAATAGTATACTTCACAGCATAATTATTAATACATGTATATTATTCACTGGTTTCAGTATACAAAACATTTAACTTTAAACTGTTTGACTTGCAGCATAACAAACTGAATACAGTCAGAACATGTATGAAGATCACAATGACCATTGGTGGTGTGTCCTGCAATGCTAAGGTTCTGTTAAATGAGCTGACCTGCAGGATTCCTAAAGACCTGAATATCCCTAGTGAGGGACTGCCTGTCAGGGTAAGAGTTGGCTTCTAAAACATGTTCCTTAAATCAGTTACTGTATGGAAGCTGAAACCAAATTGGTGTAATCAACTTTTCTACTACTGTAGGTGTCTGTGAACAGCGAAGTTTATGATGTGGGTATGGTAGTCTATGACAAACACACCCACCACTCTGTGATTGCGGGCATTGCGGTGGGCATCCTTGCTGCATTGTTACTAGGTGCTGGCCTTGCATTTATTGTGATGGTCCATATAAAGAGGAAAATGAGAGGTGAGACACATACTGCTATTACCACTATGCTACTGTAATATTTGCAGTTGTGACTATTTGTAAACAAGAGTTCCTGATGTATGCTAATTGTGTGCTGTGGTACATTTGTCCTGTACTTTTACTGTGTATTTTCATATTTTAATGTTTGGTGATTATCTATCCAATATATCCTTTCAGCCAACATAGAGAATCGTTTATCAACGATGCTTTCACGGAGCCGCATGGGCAGCAACCAGGATTTCTCACCAACAGGTGACTACAGACGCGGTGAGACTTCCAAATTCATTCATACATCCATTTTAACTGTTCCTCAGTCTTCATTTGCATTCATCAAAACAAAGGTTTTAGATTTTGTGTTGAAAATTGTACGTATTCGATAACCAACCAATGCTCAGCAGTCACCTTAAAGCACTATTTTGCATGGGTAGTACCAAAAGATGCAATTGCTTTTTAGTTTTACAGTTTCATACAACTATATAGCCATTTTGTTTTGTGTGTTTTTCTTTGTGTTTTACAATAGATCTGTCCAGTCAAACATCAGGTTCAGGAGGAATGGCCTTCCAAGGTTTATTATATGCTGCCAGCTATGATCATCTATCTGTGCCTTTAGTGCCACGGGAAAATATCTCAATGGTCAACCTAAGTTCTGGCCTCCTTGAAGA